GTCCACAGCCCTTCGCAACCACAGATTTTCGGAGACCCCCATTAAATAGGAAATTACGACAAGGCTGGGAGGCCGGTCTTCCTACTAAGGCCCCCTGGCGTCAAGCAGGAAGCATCATACTGACATTGCACAACCCCGCCCGCCTAGTCATGAATATGCACCCGATTACATAAGTTTCGCCTATGGGGAATCTGTAATGATCGTGGAGTTCAATGATGCTATGAAGGGAGTATTTCTCCATGATCATCGATATTCATCAATCCTATGGATGTACCCGAAGCCCCAAAGCATGCCACAGCAGAGAATCCATGGCATGGCAAATCCCACGGTCTGGGGGTCCTTCTCAAAACAGGGAAGGAATCCTAGGAGATGTGGGGATAATAAACGGAATATGAAGGTCTCCATGCAGGATTCGCGCGGGGTTGTCTAGAGAAACTGCCGTTTTGTCAAAGACCTTTTTTAGCACGGACTCAGGGCAATGCCGGCTGAACCTCCAAGCAGGGACTTCACCAGTCATATTGTTTAGTGGTATGCAACCGGAGGCACATACTGGGAACCAGAACTACTACTACTACTACTACTACTACTACTACTACTACTACAACTATAGTACTACAAATACAAGGGTACCATATCAACAAGTTCTGAGTAGTGCAACTCCTCAAGAAGTTCAAGTTGAACAGAATGCTGAGAATTGAACCAGCCTTGGTGCTGTAGCAAAGGCACAACAGAAGCCACAACAGGTTGATCCCGCAAGCTCATAAAGATTTGTTCGACGAGAGCATCTGTACTCATAAGGACATACTGCAGTGTATCATGCCAGACCCCTGCCTGCAGAAGTGAAGTAGACGCCCTGAGTCCTAGACCTTTTCGCCGAGAACTGAGAGCAGGCGGTCATCACCATAGGGGACGCTTACCCTGATTCATCAAACTACGGGCAGCGCTGTCAGAAAACGCCCGGTAAGCCGAATGCCAATCCAGATCGGATGTAATCATTTGACTACCATGGCCCGCCAGTATGCAACCCCGAAACCAACAAGGCCCAATAAGCCTTCACAAGCCCAAACAATCGACAACCGTTCTAAAAAGGCTTCAATTTGTGGGGGTCCACGTACAGCGAAGGCCCATAATAGTCCCACGATGTAGTTCATGGGTTGGAACCAACAAATTGCGAAGAATCCTCGATATTTGGGCAACAACATGCCGTAGGTGGACCCCCTCTCCCTGAAATAGCGGTATAATAGGAATATTCGCGGACCCTCATACGTTATTCATTATTCCTTGTCCTATTACTGGGTGGGCGTCCACCTAAGCCATGTTTATGTTGAGAACACCCATTCCTGAAGAGACGTGCATCATGTCCAGGAATGAAGTGGGAGATTCTGACAAAGTCCTCAAGATACAAACACTCATATCCATCCCGCTATATCCCTAGGGTCACCAACCAAGAGCCCCCTGTTTTTTGAGAGGCCCCAGACACTAAACACCATGCAAACCCTAATCCCTGAACCCTAGCTGAACCCAAACCCATATGCCCAATCTTTAGACGCTAAACCCAAATCCCTAAACCTGCACAGAGATCTGCAGTCGGATGCCTCGTCACTCGAAGCTGCCTGGCAATTCTCGCCTTCAGAGTGAGGCTTTAGGCTTTAGGCGCAGGGGTCTACGTACAGGGCTATACGGGTTTCGGCCAGTTTCGGATTTGGGGAGTCGGGCATTCTTGGGCTTCAGGAATTAAAGTTTCAGGCTTCAAAATCTCTGTCAACTGCACACCACAGACCCGACGAAGCCCAAGCCAACGCAAACAACCCCACGCAGTGCCAAATCGTGACTGCATGAAGCTCATCAGGTGAAAATGTACCGAGCCGCTGGTCATCTCCATAACATGAACGCCAACCCCATACTAAGTGTATAGAAACACATGGTATTTCACAAGCAATGGGCACGAAACCCACAACGCATGCCTGGGGCTGTGGAAGTCAGAACATGGCTTGTGCCAGGCTCGCCGAGCGACCTCGGAGCTTCTGAGAATCATAATTCCCTAGGGCTCCAGTTACAGTCCCCCTTGAGTAGATGGAATACCGAGTATATGGGGATCTTATTATAATAGCAGTGAATTCCATATTCTATCTGCTGAAGGGGGACTATACCTAAATAATGGGTCCTGGGCTCTATTTACCCTATTGTTACATAGCCCAGTAACCTACTATTCGAGTAACTCGGAGCCCTAGGGAATGGTTCTGCTACGTCCCGATCCAAATGAAAAAACCTACGGGAATCACCTCTTAGGTGCTTTTGGAACGAATCATATAGCGGCCATTTTACGAAATGGGAAACTAGGAAGTAAATAGTGAACTCTCTGCTCGTTCATTGTATGTTTGCATTGCAAAGTCCTACAAACCTAATTCTAATTCGACTTCGTTACCAAGGCTCTTGTACAGAAATTCGTGTATACAACCACCACGAGAACAATACAAAACTCGAAAATGAAGAATAACCCAAATCCTAATTCTAAGTGAACTTGTTTGCTGAGGCTCCTGCATTCAAATTCCGGCGAAAGCTTTACGATATTATTCACAACCTAAGTTATGAAGGAGACCCCGAATCCCTCATTGTGCCCATAGTGACCTTCCCAAGTATCTCAGGAACACACGCCGAATCATGACAAGGGCCTCGTAAGTGGCCCCGTTTAAACCTAGTCTTGGCTCCTCGAAAACAATTTTCCGGAGATTTGGGGTTCTCTGGGAGGAATGCGTATGATCAATTGCTAGGGGCGTGGTTGCTAGGGGAAGGGATTGTCTAGCTTAGGGTTTAGGAGTAGATTCAGGTTTGGCAGTTACGATTTATGATTTAGGGATTTGGGTTTAGTATGTTGCGCACCTTTTGTGGGGCTGTAATGATTAAAAAGGGAAAATCTTTTTCTGGGCAAGAAGAGTAGGGCTCCCCCCTCTGCTGTTCGGTTTACTGAGTCATGCCGAATGCTCCTTGGAGTAAGCGTAACTCTTCCTCGGGTCACCTTTCTAAGCAGCCCTTACTTACAACACAAACGAAATTTCTTGGAGGGAAGACAGAAGCATCCTCGCATGGAGAAATACCCGGCCATGCAGAGATTGGCAGGCAACAGAAAATCAATCCAGAATAATCCCTTCCTGCTATTTACTAATCAATGTTTCGCATTATAATTAGGGGAGCAAGGAGGGGTGTTCATTATTATGCGGCAAGGAATTAGGATCCAAATTATAAGCCACTGCCGCCAAGTGTGCACCCTGAAGAAGCTCGTTCGTGGGCTGATAATGTTTGCAGTGGAGTATTTAGTCGGCGCCCAAGGACTATTTCGGGGCACGTAGCTGTAAACTGAGACGGACTCAGCCAAGCATGCAAAATCCACGTGCATGGATTGCTGTACTTCTCCCAATCTTCCTTTACAGCACTACTCCGCTCATGACCCGACAAGGCAGATACGCTGCTTCACCTCGGAATCTCCAAGAGTACACCTTCGCCTTACAAAAATCAAACACCTGAAGCCCTTCTGTAGTTCTTAAGGCACCTACCCTAGATGTTGGGGATGTTGGGCGGTATAAGGGCATGACCCGTGGAGCATAGCCCGGAAGGTATGTACCACGCGCCCAGCTGCAAGCCTCGTGTGCTTCTAAACGCAGTTGAACACGCTCATCTCACAGCAAGAACGGCCAAAGTTCCGGAGTTTCAGCGGTGAAGGACTAACCTTTGAGGAATAGGGCCTAGGGCTTCTGTTCAGGATCATGATTGCAGACACGTCTGTAGGCGAGGCTGGTGTTGCACGTAGGCTGTGCTCGTGCGGGGGATGCCGGCTGTAAGTTTGAATCTATAGGTATGTATAGGTTTTGGCATGCAAACATTGGACATTTCCGGGGGCACACGACTAGTGTTTCAGAATTCACGAAAATCATTCTATCATTTGTCCTTCAGCAGCCGTCCGACACCTCCTGCGGCCACGACTGCCACAATACATTACGCGCGTATTTTGACACGGGTCTGCTGGTAGAATGGAGTAGCACGGCGAGATTATGCCAAGTCTATGCCTGCATTCCTGTTGTTTGCATGACGAGCCCTGTTCAATTTCCAGGTTCACAAATTCGGAGTCTTTTGTCGGGAGTGCTTGTAATCAGGATGATCAGATGTTGGGATCTATCTTGGGGCTCCCTTTTTTTGGAAACCTCATTTGAAGTTTGGCGATTCTTGCTGCCCCCCCCGTCTGCCAACCGAAACGGGCGTGCACCACAGCGCAAGACAAGCTCAACCTGTCCGCGTGCTATGCTTATATGGGAATTTCTCAAAATGCGGGGACCTAGGGACCCCAAGCCAGACGTAAGGACTATGCGGGGGTGATAGTGTAATCAAACATGGGCCAAAGTATGGGCCTCTGGCCATTCCTTCATCCCCAAACCCGAGACCCATGGGTCCTATACCCCGGGAACCAGCACCGGCACCAAGTAGCCAGCCCTGCAACAGCTGGACTGTCTCTCTCGTCAGGCCAACCTCAGATCAAGTCCCAACATCAGCCATCTAGGGTTTAGGGGTTTTAGGGTTTAGGCTGAAGGGTTTAGTTAGGACTTCGAGTAGGAAGCATTGCTCCGGCATAAAAGGGAACCTTCCTTCCAGTATTAGATGCCCCGCCACCTTCCAAAACTGCAGATCACTCATGCCGAGCGAATAAGGTCTTGGAACAAAACGTACTAGAGTCACATACCTGGGAAGCCATTGGCCCATAATTACGTGGTCAACATTCCCCCTTCTCTCTGCGACTTTTGACAATCATTTCTGCCATTCGTAAACCATACGGGAGCATGTGTGACTTTGTGGGCGAAAGGGAGGAGCTTTACGATTGGAGAGGAAGGGACTGTCGGGACCCAAACTCGAACCAAGCAAACGACGGTCCTGGTTTTTTCACCCAACAAGCTGAGGCTACCTTATTGCAGCAACTCACATGAAAAGGGAAGGGTTGCCTGGAGAACCCTGAAGCCCAAACCCTACGCCATGAACCCGAAACCACGAATCCTAGAGCCTTAACGCTGAAATCCAAAATCCCTTGTAAGCATGCACCTCCCAATGACCGACCACCAGCCTAGTGGAAAGCCTGCCAATCCAAAATCTTCAACCCTTAACACTGAAATCCTACGTCCCTCAACCCTAAACCCTAAAGCCCTGAACCCTAAACTCTACGTACATCCCTATGAACCCCTATATAAACCCATACCCTAAACCCTAAACCCTCTCGCG